GTATTCTCATTAAATGATCTTACATTTCTAAACATCTATGTATGTCTTTCATCCGCAAATTTCTTATACGTTTGCAATAAAATTTAAGCACATGCGTTTCCTCAATAGCTGATGTCCGATTGATATTCAATTAACACGTCAAACAAAGAAAGTTTAAAGTTGAGAAAGTGGAAACCCAATTTTCAAGGGAAAAAAGACAGATTAAGAATTTTAACCACGAAGGAAAATGCGTATTTAAGCGGCAGGGTTAGAAAATCACCTGAGAATGAGGAAATAATTGAGATTGAGTGTCGGAGATGCTCTTGTAAATACTCCGGCGCTGCTCAAATACCACCACCCCCGTGAGTATGCCCCCCAACGCCGCTCCCAGCAGACGCTCCTGCAGATATTATGTCAACAGCCACAACAAAAAAATGAAAATTACCTAACTGTCGGAAATGGTTGCGTCACCTGAGAGAGTATACTGATCATGACGGAGTTTTTGAATGCAATTTCTGCACGCGCGAACCGTTTGAGAGGATTTCCGGCGAGCTCTATGAAGATCGAAAGTCCGTTCAACTGTAAAAATGTCTCCCCAGAGTTTCAGACGCAAAAGGGCTTAAGCCCACATTCCCTAAATTTCATGCATTAGCCGGCCCAAATTGAGTTTGCGTTGAAACTTTAAAATTTTCCCATTTCAAAAGTAGGTGGATTAAGAATAATGAAAGATGATATAAAATTATAAATTATTGAGGGTATGATGGGAAGAAAGTGAAATAATGTGATGCAATGTAGGAAAAATCCCAAAAAAATAGTTGTAATAGTGTATTATTTTAAGAATTATTGAGAGTATGATAATAAGATTTAGAAATGAGAAGATTTTTTGTTACAGACGAAAAAGGAAAGTGAGAAGATTTTTTTGTTACAGAGGGAGTACGTGTCAAGAAAGATAGAGTTAAAATAATTATTTAAATTTAATATAGAGAAAACCGTGTATGACAAAAATGAAAAAGGAGAGAGAAAGAAATAAATTATACGGAGTATACAATTGATAATGACAATGTCCGCGTGTGGACTTTACACGGGAACTGGATAGCAAAAGTGGATGTAAAATAGGTTAAAAGTGATATAAAACTGAAAAAATAAAATAAAAGTGGAGTTATGTATGTTCAATACATAAAAATTTTGAGATACAAATGAGACTCACTAAGAGTGCATAAAAGAGAAGTAAAGATAGTACTCCCTCCGTCCCATTTTGGATGTCCTACTTTCCTTTTTTGGTTGTCCCAAAATGAATGTTTTGTTTCCTTTTTTGGCAAGAAATATGTGGTTCTTATCATTTCACTTTATTCTACTCAAATCTCAACCACAACTTTTACTTTTCAACCACTTTATTAATAAGCGTGCCAAATTGAAAGTGGACAACCATTATGAGACGGAATAGTATGATTATTTTAATTTAACATAGACATATTATCATGTAGGCGAACTTAACGAGATCAGAGAGATAGACATATATTGTAGACCATATAAATGACAATGTCCACAAATGAGCTCTATTCAGGAGTCAAGAATCAAAAGTTGATGATAACTTGATAAGTCGATTAAATCTGAATAATTTTAATTTTTATACAACCATGTCGCTTTCTTAAATCTTACCATTTTCTCATATAGGTAGTACTCGGTATATTATATCCCAAATGTCATTAGGAGCTTTTATTTTATTTATTCTTAAATAGTTTATATACAATATCTACCAACCAATAGAATTAGAATATTTCAGTATAAATTTCTAACCAACAATTTCAATTTGTCGTACGACAAGTCCATAATCAAGCTCTAACAAGTCTCATTCTTATCAAATGATTCATTAATTTATAGAGTAAAGCTCAACGTCCTTGGTCCCATATTCAATTTATTTGTTGACTTGATAAGCTAATAAGATTGTGTTGAGCAAAATTTACACAAATGTGAGTAATAATATGAATCGTAAATTCTTTTTAATAAAATAAAAACGTCACATCGATACTGAAAGAAATAGTCAGTATATTTAGGATGATTTTAATATATACTCCCTCTGTCCCCTTAAGTTTGTCCCGTTTTACCTTTTTCGTCCGTCCCACTAAGTTTGTCCCATACCATATTTGGTAACATTTGAGTGGTTAGAATTCATTCTTACTTTATTTACACTTTATCAATTCAATATCAACCATACAATTCCACATTTTCTTAAAAACCACACCACACCCCTCCGTCCCAAACTTAGGGGGACGGAGGGAGTATTATATACTATGTATTTCCTATATTTTCATTTTTCCTATATTATATCTTACTAGGTTTCAAGCCCGTGCGATGCACGGGTAGTACATAATTTAGCTAATTTTAAATTTGATATTTTTGAAATCATATACTTCGTATAATGTGATGCAAAAGAAAAATAAACTCAATCTAAATATAGAGTTCGTTTGATAATACTCGTAGTAAAATTAGTGAAATCAGCTTATTTTACTGAAATTGATTAAATTCATGTTGAATCACTTGAATGGGCTGAATAGGCAGAATCTCTCGAATCATGAAAAAAATTAAAAAATATTTCACTTGTAAAATAAAGAGACAATTATATGGAAAATATTTAAAATGTTCTTTTACATAAGAATCTCAACTAAACAAAATTGTGGTGAACCCAATTTTAAAGAATTCACAGAGAAACTTCTTAATTAATCTCATGTCTTCTAAATTATTTTATTATGCAGCTCAATTTTTTTTCATATTCCTCATTGAATTTGGTATGAACTGTGGAGTATTTACTTTTAACTTTTAATAGTAAGATCTTACATTTGACTCATTATTTCATCACATTGAAAATGTAAAAAAATGGAGTTTTTTTACATTTTACTCATTATTTCGTCATATTGAAAATTATTTTTAATTGTTATGAACGTCTAGATTACTTTATTGAGCATTTCAAAATAATATTTTTCTAATATTTCTCATTCAACTTGATATGAAATATTCCCCCCGTCCCCTTTTAAATGTCTCGTTTTACCATATTGGGATGTTCCTATTTAATTGTCACATACCTTATTTGGTAAAATTTGTATGACTCAAAATCACTCTTACTTTATTCTTACTTTATAAATTAATATCAACCATACAAACTCACTTTTCTTAGAACTCGTGTCACCCTCTTCCTGGATATTTAAAAGGGGACGGAGGGAGTACATATTTTTAAATTTTAATAGTGAGTTAGGTTCTTACATTTTACTCAACTTGGAATTGGTACTCCGTAGTAAAAATAAAGAAATGAAACAATCCAACATATTTACTTTTGGCTAGACTAAACGTATTAACTTGTGAACACACATATGCATGTATGATATCAACTTTCATCCTTATTAAATACGTAGTATTATAGATAAGCTACTTGATTAGAAGTATTCTCTTTATATGATTCTATATATGAATGTCTAATAGTACTAATTTCGCTTTCAATTTCAAAAATTCGGTGGTTATAATTTTCATCATTGTGTTAATAATTAAGAAAGTATTATACGAAGATGTAGAAAAATACGAAGTATTAACACAGTTTCTAATCTATAGCTTAAAATTTTAATCATGATCTCAACATTGAGTTTAGAAGAATAAAATATACGGAGTAACATTTTAGGAAATAGGACACTATTAATACTTTTTTTATAAATAAATAATTTTGAAGACAAAATAAATAGCAATTTGGCTGATTTATCTATTTTTTTAAGGAACTGATTTGTCTCTTAAGTGGGCAAAACAAAGATACTTTATTTCTTCAATAAAATGTAATAAAAACTAAGAAGTACGGAGTATAACAATAATCAAAAAAATTATACGTGCTTATAATTAAAAGTACTGTATAAAAAGTACTTCGTATGGTTGGTTATTTAATTAGTGTGATTCCAATTAATGAATTTCATAATTATTAAATAAGTAATAGGTTTTGAAAAAGTTTCCAAATAAGGTGGATTTTTATCATAAAGTCTTTTGTTTCCATATCAATATGCAATCAAAAATAGAATCTAATAAAATAAATAAAAGATACAGAATATTAAAAATTAAATGATGGATGACATGGCATGATTATGTGGCACTTTGTATGCTCTTAAAAAGTTCCTCTTTTATATATATATTGATTTTTAATAAGACGAATTCAATAATGTTATTCAAAATCATACCATCATATATTAAAAAATGAAACATAATCAAAGTAGTGTGTGTAAAGAATAAAAAATTCATTAGGTTGTAACTAAAAAAACAAATACCAATATCCGACAAAAGCTTAAATTTGAAAGTTAGGATGGTTGAGGAATATTGTCATGATTCACGGTATAAAAATGGAAATTTCTTGTACTATGCTATAAAAATGGAAATTTATGAAGTTTTGGCTTAAATGGTTGTATTAGTTGATTCTGTTGATTTATGAAAAAATAAAGTTAAAATATATTTTATTAATAAAATAAAGAAAAAATTATTTGTAATAATAGCTAAATAATCCTCTACAGTAACTTCAACCGAAATAGTCAGAAAAGTAACTATAACCTTACTATTTATTACTCCCTCCGTCCCAAAATTAACTTCTCACTTTCCTTTTCGGACAGTCCCGAAATTAACTTCACACTTCAAAATTTTCCTTATTTGGCAAATAATCTACATCAAAAAAGTGTCAAACAGTGCCAAACAGTCTCAGTGTCCAAACAGTGTCAAACAGTGTTTAAACAGTGCAAAACAGTGCACTCCACAGTAAAATCAAATTTATTTTCTTAATCTGTGTGAAGTCAAACTGAGAAGTTAATTTTGGGACGGAAGTATTATTATTATTATTATTATTATTATTATTATTATTATAAATTTCAACACGTGAAATCAAAAATTATGTAATCGGTGAAAAGTTGACTGATAAGACCGAATGACAGTGTTAGATTGTTAGCAAACGGGCTCTAGGTATAGGTAACTTGATTTTCACCCAATGCCAAACAATTCCGAAAGGTCTTATCTGTTTCTGTCGCCGTCACGCCACCCTTTATTCGCGTCCCTCCCTTCCACGTTCTCCGCACCTTTCCCGCCCTACTTCCTCCTTACTGCTTCCCCTTTTCAAACTTATACGCTTTCTCGACTCCCCACCCTTCATTCCTGTTGCCATTTCATCTCTCTGGCTTTATCGATCTCTCTTCATTCTTTTGCTTAGCGATGGCGGGTCTCCCGATCTCCTCCCTCTCTCTATTCTTACTCTTCGCGATGTTTTCCGTTCAACGTGCTCTACCTGCAGATCCGCCTGGGATTTCGCCAGCGCCGGCTGCTGTTGTCTCTCCCGAGACTCCATCACCGTCTCCTGCACTCTCTGACAGTTCTCGACCGTCAGATTTCACCTCGCCGTCGCCATCGCCGCCATCGGTGATTGCTAATGCTCCGTCTCCGTCCCCCGCGATTGCAAATACACTTTCGCCGTCGAATTCACCTGCTCCCGCGCCGGTCTCTCAAATGGCAAGTGATGTAGCTCACGAGAGCGTGGAATTATCTCATGAGTCCGGAAAAGAGGGAATGAGCGGCGGGAAGAAGGCCGGAATAGCGGTCGGAGTGATTTCTGGGATGGTTGTGGTAGGGTTGGTAGGGAAGGTTTACAAAAAGCGGCAGGATAATGTCCGTCGAGCGCATTTCGGACAGGCCTCCCGGAGAGGGTTTCTCTAAGCTCCGACTTATGCAAATCCAGCCTTTGACGCTAAAAAACTGCATAGATCTGGGAATCCACAGATGTAAAGAGGTGATGGCAAACGTTTGATTCTTCTTCACTTGATAGAGAAAAGCTACTGTTAATTTCTAGTTTATTTTGTCCATTTCATTTAATTAAGTCTCTCTTTTGCTGGTTTGTTGATTTATTATTTCATGAATGTAAGTTACTCCGTACGTTATTGGCGTCATATCAGTAATTTTGTGAGTGGACTTCGCCCTTCAGTTCGTGGTGCTAAATGAGTGTTATGTATTCCTATGTAAAAAAATCTGTAATGAACATTTATATAAAAGATTAGTTTAAAAAAAATTACTAAATCAAAAGTTCAAAACTGTAAACGTAATATTTTTTATACATTCTTTCTCATCATCCCAAAATAGTATGCTCCGTATATACATATAAATACACATGGTATATGAAAATATCTATAGGGACTTGGGGAGTATTTTTATAATACAAAGCAAACAAACAGTCATGTTTTAGACTTTTATTACGAGTAGTAAACAATGGATTTTTATAATAGAATTTTGAAATTTGAACATGGTTGTTTTATCGTGTACCTCCTTTCCCCCAAACAAACTTCGTCATATAAACTTATCTTTCCTTCTTAAGGGAGTATGTAGTGAGTGACTCGGGCATGACTGAACACCACTCTAGACCGGAAACGATTTATTAACGAGAAATGGAAATAGATGAAGGGTCCTGATTTTTTCTTTTTAAGTTGCAAAATTGAATAAGAACCAAACACGGAATCGGGCCGATGCAGGCCGATGCATTACGGTTTAGTGTTTTTTAAATCCTAACCAGCCTGTTTCTACCCTTGCTTAAGAGGGCAAACAAAGCAAGCTGGAACCGAGCTGTCAGAAGATGTCTGAGCTGTAAAGACGTATAGATGTTCCAAGTGAGTAAGTGACCACTTTATTATATTTAAGCCTTCAAGGACATGGCCACCTTACAGTTTGGTACACATTATGTGAAAGTTGGTATACATACACCAATTGCCAGATAAATAGAGGATTGCCTGACTAATTACTCTGATCTTCTGCTGGAGGATCCACCCATCGGCCATGTTCTTTAATTAGATTGATCAAAGCACCTGTAGCTTCCTTCATCGCAATGCCCCGCTTCACCACCGTCTGTGAACAAACAGTCATTTAGCATTTTGACCATAAAAGTTTAAAAAAGGTGAATTGAATTTCAGAAACTGGGAGTTACCTTTCCAACATAAAGATCTATCTTCCCAGGAGCACCACCAACATATCCAAAGTCTGCATCAGCCATCTCCCCAGGCCCATTCACAATGCAGCCCATAATAGCAATCTTAAAGAGAAAAATATTAACAGTGAATTATGAGCTCGTTTGTAAAAAAGGGTGCACCCCATCCATAGAAGAAAATGGAATGAAAAATAACAATAGAATGGTTTATACTTGACATTTGTTCATTACTTGTTCAAAATACCATATGCATTTTAAAGCTTATTTCAATTCTAAAAAAATTGAAGCATCCAGATCTCAATTTTGTTTGCATTTTGAGTAAAACATCTCAATTTCCTTGGCATTTTTTTCCATGTCCCTAGCATCTTTCAGGATCCAGACAGATTCTATTTGGTAAAAAGTCTCATAGGTAAGCGGAAAGAGGTGTACTGACCTGTTACACTTAGTATTACTATATTATTAAAATGAAGTCCAACAAAAGTCCAATTCCTCAGTTTTGTTACTTACTGAAACACCAGGCAAGTGTGATGTCTTCTCACGTATCTCTGCGCTTATTTCTTGAAGGTCAAACAGAGTTCTGCCACATGAGGGGCATGACACATATTCCTGACGAAGGGAAGCATACAATTACTCTCGTTTGTCTCAAATGAAAAAATAGGCAGACTATTTTCCACGCATATATGCTTTATTACCGTCTTAGTATTCCTCATCCTGCACCCTTGTAGAAGATTGAATGATGTATTTCTAAGAAACTCAAAATCATTATCAGGAGATTCTAAGAGCACGCCATCTCCAAGCCCATCTACCAATAGAGCACCAGCATTGGTTCCAGCACCAATTACTAGATCATCCCTGCAATTGAGTACCCGTGCTAAGTTCAGGAATTGGCATTTCTCACACAGACTATTAGTCTTGATTTATTTCATACCTGTGAATGTTCTTGGGAAATTCTATATGATGAATAACTGGAAAATCCAAGGAATTTTCTGAAAGATATTCAAAAAGCCTGCAAGCAGGAAACAAATATCAGCTTGAAAATTGCTAGCCGGGAAAGGACTACTATTATGATATTATCAAATTTCTTGTCGTTTAGAGCCTGTTTGGAAGACTTCACATTCGGCTTGTTGGACTTATTCACCAAAAAGTAACTTATTTCATTGTGCTGGCTGAATCAGGTCATTCTGAAATATGAACATCATAGTGCAGGAGTTGCCTTTTCGCAGAAATTGATACTCCCCCCTTTATCTTTAGAAATTATCTTCTTTGACTTATTTTAAAACATTTCCAAATAAATTCTTAGAGCATTAAACAGCTTTAGTTGTTTCAGATACACATTCAGTTAACTACTCCAATCATTTAAGCTTAAACGGGCTTTTAAGACGAGACATGAAGTAAAACTCATAACTGCTTTACATTAAACTCTTCAAGAATATATATGAATAAAACAAAATACAGCAATACCTCCTTGCAGCATGAACTCGGCTGATTTTTTCTTCAGTACATGGTAGATTGTGAAGAATCAAAGTTGCATCAGATTTCTTGAGCAATTCCAATTCTTCATAAGGTTCATCACCACGTACAGACACAACCAGTCGTGCACCTAAAGGAAGTGGATAATATATAATGAGTGCTGACATGCACACAATAATAATAATAATAATAATATAAATAATAATAATAAATCACTATTCATGCTAAAACATGAATAAAGAAGTTGTACCTGCTGTGAGAAGTTTGTGGGCACAGCTAGATAATTCCTTGAGAGTAACCAAGACCATGGCATTAGGAAGTGGCTTTGTTAATTGCTCTGATAATGGTGTTATGACTCCCATGCTGATGTCTATCAACCTCTTCAGAGCTAGACGCTGGCCATGTGATGGGGGCGGGGGCAAACAAGTCAGCCTCACAACTCTAATAAAACATATATTCTGTAACACGTGAAAAGGCTGTACTGCCAAAGTGTCATTTTTTATGTATGAAGGAAACAGCCCTTACAGCATCATTGTCATGAACTGGTGGAAGCTCTCTCAACAAAATTGAGTCCACAGTTGCTAAATCCTATAGCATGGAGTAATCACCTTTATTAGTAATATAACAATTGTACAACTGCACATTTAACAGATGTAATCATTTTACATGACAGAGTCTTATTTTTTAGCCAATAAAAGGATATAATTGGGACCTTAAATGGCATGCCAATAACCAGTTTTGTTGCTAATGACTTGTACAAAATCTCAGGTGCCTGCCAATAGGAAATAGCAAGAGAAGCTTTCAGAAAACAGAACAGGAAAATAAAAACAAAGAGAAAGCATATACAGAAATTGCCCTAAATATGAGTAAAACGTTTTGGAATTCCAAAGTAGAAGCACTATGTTTATATTCCCTAAATAAGAGTAATTACTGTCATGTTTGGATAAAACTAGTACTTATGACATTATATTGTCATATTTAAAGCTTAGTAATGCCAAAATATGGCAGTAATTTTCAGGATGACAGCAATGTACTTCTAATCTTCTATGTAAGGAAAACCACCTCTTATTTCAGAATTTGACATTGTTCTTACTCCTATTTTGGGAAATTTCCCAAGAATATATGATGTACTTGTTTGGTTAGGGGAGGGAAAGGGATGGGTGAAATTTGTTTTAATAATTTATTGATTAGTTTTTCTAATATTTCAGAAAATAAATATCTACTTGGAGTAAATTAATAAATACTACCTCCGTTCTCTTTTAATTGCAATGTTGGACTTTTTGCACTATTCACATATTCTACTTTGACTATATTTATTTATTAATGTATTATAAATTAAATTTTTAATTTTTTTTAGTTCCTCTCATTGTAAATTTTCAAAATCTGCATTTTTTAAATTTTTTATTAATAAGAAATGAAAGATATTAATAGTTAACTTGTGCGTTGGCAAACGTGAAATGTGGACCGTTGCAATTAATAAAAAAACGGAGGAAGTAATAAATATTAGACCTCCCCTTCCATCTCTCCAAATTCCCCCAACCATACAAGGGGTAAAAGTATGACACAAATGCCAAGTAATGGAAAGATCAATAGAGAAGTGAAAACTGAGACCTTCAACTGATCCAGGGAAACGGACATGATGACAGAGCCATCTCGGTGCAAAACACCTCTATAATCTACCACTTCGCCCTGCCAAGCTTGCACACATTGGTTCAATATTCAAATTTTAAATGGAACAAGAAATAATAAATAAGTAAATAAATAAATAAATAAATAATGGCAGGCCTAAGGTATGTACTGATTAAAGTTAACATGTGACCTCTTTTTGCAGTGGCAACTGTCCTGTTCGTCGTTGGAAGTCAAAATAGCGGCGGTGCTTCTCTTCAAAAGGTGCCTAAAATGGATACCAAATCAAGTCTATATAACAGAAATTTAATGGTCTAAACAAGATCATGAAGCAAATTTGTTATGCAATCCTACCACTCCTTGCTGAAGCTCGGCTGCTCTCATACCAAGGTTTGCCAGCCGTCGACATGGATCAATCTCTTCTTCCGGAGGTTCAGTAAGGGAAACCCTGATGGTATCACCCAGACCATCCTGTGCGGTGAAATGTTAGACAATTTGCATATCCAAAGCCATCCAAATATTTTTGTGTTCCCCATTTTTCAGTTTAAAATAGCTCTTTCAATTTGAGCAAGAAAATGCTAGTTTTTGGGTTTGAGTCTGGTCTAGTACATATAAGTATGTGAACTTTTCTGGTCCAAAATGAAAAGTCCATTTTTAGTAAGGTAGAGCTTTTGATCTTTAGTTTAGGGACCTGGTCTTTTGGAGGGGAAGCTTCTGGACTTGTCTGACTAGCGATAATATTATGCCTTTAAAATCTGGTGTGGAACTGAAATAAGTCCAAAACAACAGGTCCTACTTGAATAGTACAAGCTTTTAGAAGTTAATCCTTATGAATGCAACTTATACCCTAGGACATATTTTCAAAATTATTTAGTTAATCCATATAGTTTAATGAAACAACCTTTTGATTCGCATTATAGGAATACTGCTTTAAATAAAACTATCTCCGTTCTTAAACAATTGTAGCTATGTTGAATTTTGCACTATTCACATGCTCTACTTTGACTAAATTTTAT